ATAATAATAATTATTATTATTATTAAAATATTTATTAAAAATACAAATTATACAACAAATATTTCATTATCCAAAAGATAAAATCCACAAATAGATGATACATAAGGAACAAAACATGGAAAGTAATTCAGAGAATTAAATAGCTTGAACACTAATACAACATGACGAATTAATCATGATGAACTTCTTCTTTATATACGACGTTCTTGATCACATATTTGCACAGTTATTAACATAGCATTTACAGGGAGGAGTGCAAGGAAAACCGTTCTTGTAACAACTGCACCTAGCTCTAGTACAGTTACTAGCGTACAGTTACTAGAGCTACAACTGCACCGTGTTCCTTTGCACCCAAATTTACAACCACATTAATTTTAATCAGCTCAATCACAGCGTGAGGGGCGGGTGAGACACCTCGCGGGAACATAAACTCCAACCTGTACACGCCAGCCATTTTGTTCAATAGGAGGAGAAGGGCAGTTGGTAGGGTATGATTGATCGCGCATGGCCATGTAATTTGCTCGTATTATAGCTGAAGGGGTCGTTGTCGTATTGTAACATGTCATTTACACGTGTTACATGGAGTAGTCAGTGGAGCTAGACTGGTAGTTGTTTTAGCCATAGTCTAGTTAGACAGAGCGTTGCGCAACAAGATGCGCGGCTACATTGATGTATTAGGGAGAATGATAGACGTGGTTAGGTTAGACAGATTAGAGGGTCATTGTGAAATGGGGGGTAGGACGCAGTCTGTGAGAACGGTTACATGTGCGGGCAGTAGGTTTGTAGGAGTTTTGGGGGGTAATAGAGAGGATAGAGATGTAGGAAGGGGATTCTGGTTCTGGTCGCGGAAGGAGGCACACGCGCGTATGCTCGTGTGCGCGGGTCTTTTTCTCTTTGTGCGATGTGACGACACTGTGTATGCGTTATTAAAGTTTATTCCGGTTACTACAACAAGTTTGGCTTTCTGTCATCATTCAACGTTACATTTTGGTTGCCGTGACAGTCCAAAACCTGGGTATCCCTTTGCGGACACAACGCAAGTTATACTTTATTATATCGATCTACGAGCCAGCAACGAAACAGAGGAAGAATGACGGAGAGCGAGAGAGGGAGAGAAGGACGGAAAGAGCTAGTTCCGATGACGAGATGGGAGAGAGTATAGCCGAAACACTATATCGATCTATGGGCCAGCAAAGAGACAGAGGAAGAATGACGGAGAGCGAGACAGGGAGAGAGGGACGGAAAGAGCGAGTTTTGATGATGAGATGGGAGCCAGGCTGCGCTAGCGCCGACGACGATGACGATGAGGATCGGCTGGAGATATTGGAGAATGAGAACCGTTGTGGCCGCCGCGTCGGCAAGGTTGTCAACGGAGAGGAGAAGGACGAGAAAGGA